TGTGTGTGTTGGTTTTTTGTTTTTTTTTAATGCGAACAAAGTCCCAGCCCTAATCTCCTGCATCTTGTTGCCTTATTCCAGCTTCCCTTTGCTTTAATCCCAGTCCTCACGTTCACCAGCCTGCATCCTGTGATGAATGACTTCGCCAATGGACTGTAAGTATGAAAAGAATCCCACCCACCTGACCGTTTCCTGATTTTAAAACCATTTGATTGAGGCCTGGGTATGGATATCTATCTTGGGTGCTTGGTCCCAATAAATGTGATATCTGAGCACAACCTTTAATGTATTTATCCTCGCAACACCCTCTGAGGGAGGGGAGTTTTATCCCCATTTTACATATGGGGAATTGAGAGGCCAAGTGACTTGCCCAAGGTCACATGGGAATTTTGTGGCAAAGTAGAAGAACCAAGTCTCCCAAGTCCAAGCTGGCACCGCAACCACTAGGCCTTTCTTCCTCCTTCAGTGCAGGGCTAACTGTTCACGAAAACGTGTGAATTGTTTTTATTCCCCAAACAGTATTAGAGTAGTTCTGCTTTTAAGCTTCTTATACATAGCCCAGTCTCCCCAAGACCTGTTTGACAACTCACTCTCCTTGGAGTGGTGCCCAATATGTCACTTCTAGAAACAGGTGTGTGTTTATTGCTTCCTGAGCGCTGTCTTGACCTCTTTTCTTGTCCCTTTTTCTAGTCTGTGTTTTTAGTCTAAAAGTAGCAACCCTATTAGAAAAGAGTCAGTGCAGGTCAACGAAAGTTTCTATTCTGGTGACTACATTTTCAGAGTCTCGGCATTTACATTACAAGAAGTGTTCCCTCCAAACACCAGGGCAAATAGGAACATCCCTCTCTCCCAAATGCCCCCGTAATCCCGTTTCTTTTGGCTTCCCTTTCAGAGGCTGGAAGATCGCTGGCAGTGTGCTCATTCTCATTGTCTGCTCCATTAACATGTATTTTGTGGCAGTCTATGTCACCGCACTGGGACACCTTGCCTTGTACGTGGTTGCAGCTGTTGTCTGTGTTGCCTACCTGTGCTTTGTAGCATATTTGGTAAGTATTGTTCTTCCACGCTCTTTGGCAAGACGATTGCTGTATAAAATTGTGATTCCGGTGATTATTGGGCTGAGGCAGCTTGTAGGCAGGACTGAGAGAATGAACTTGCTTTCCCAGGAGCTGGGAACTTTTATTTAATAAACCATAGAACTCTTACAAACACTAATCCTCGCCATCCGCCAGGTGCATAATTTCAGATATGTGCCTCAGTTTCCCATAAGTCAAGACACGTTCAAGCTTTCAAGCGCCACTCAGTTCTGTGCTCTACTCCTTGCAACTTCTTACCTTCCATCCAGTTCCTTTTATAACTCATCTAATAGTCTGATGGGGGGAGACCACCTGAATCATGCAAAATTCCAGATCTGTTTGTGTGTATTCAAATGGTAAGAGGGGACAATTATGCATTTGTTTAAAAAACAAAAACGGGGGGGAGGGGGAGAGTCTGTCAGCCTGCAGTGTGACTTTCCTTCCTGTGACTGCTCCTGTATCTCCAAGTTTCTACTTATTGTGAAAAGTGTGTCAAAGTTTAGAACGGCTTATAACCATGCTCAACAATCTATTGAATGGCTTTCACCATCTCAGCAGGCTTAATGTGCTTTAACATCCTTAACGTTCTCTGTAGAACTCATTATGAAGAGATTTGGTAACTTGACTTTTGAGTAATTACTGAAAAATAGCATCTAGTAATCCCTCCATGTTTCCATTCAGCTGCTAAAAAGATTGTAACTTGCAGCTATGTTTCTCACAGCCCACTCCTTCTTCTTTAATTCCAGAGCTGGCTGTGTCTGATTGCTCTTGGGATCTCCTTCCTGGCCTGTGGGCAAACGGTAAGCGTCACTAGAACAGGGCTTACTGAAGAACCGCCTGTCACTCAAATTAACTAAACACTGGGTCTGTCTGCACACAGCAGGTAGCCATCAGAGCCAGTGCGTTTCTATGGTTTACTGTGTGAACATATCCAAACGTATGTGCAATTTGCACGGAAAATACTTGTGTAAGTTTGTTGTATAAAAGCTCAGATGTACGTACTGGGAAATATTGTGTTACTAAGATAACTAAAGAGATGAGTAAGTTTCCTTGCTGACTCCCTCTAATCACAACCTAATCACAAACATAATGTCATGTTGCTGCTGGAATAGATGTCTGCTTTGCAATGTAGGAACTGCATGTAACTTTCCTATTATCCAGACACTAACCAGCTTAACAGCCTGGCAAAGAGACACTCTATGTTCCAAAATGACACGTCCATTTAGCTAGTTCTCTGCCTCTGAAGTCTTCCAGTGAATCTGTAATACAAGCTGCTAAACAGAAATCAAGCTGCTTGGACAGTATCTGAAGTATTAATCCTCCTTCTCACAATTAGACAAGCAACGGGTAAAGTCTGTGACACTAAGTGATGCAATCTACCTCCACAGATCAGAATTCAATTGTATTCCATAATCTCAAATTGACCTGGTTATTTCGCACTCTAAATGCATTAGAAAATAGTTACTGGTTACAGTTAATCAGAATGAATATGGGGTGCAGAAATTCGTTCCCGGAGGTGGGAATTGTGTTGGAGAAATCCTAGCCCATAAACACTAGAAGTCTAAGTATTAGAGTTGGCATATTTTTTTCCTACCTGGTATGTGATTCTGGTGATCAGCAAGGGTAAAAAATAAATCAGTGTTTACAGGTTGTTTATGATTCTGTGAATTATTTTGTATGTATGGCATTAATAGAAATTGTCTCTGTATTTTCTGCAATTTCCTGTATCATGACTCATGGAGTGTAACGTAACAGAATGCTAAAAGCCTTCCATGATTTGGGTCTCCATTTTTTTTAAACTTCCTTACTTTCACTTCCAGTCTGGCCCTTTATACTTTCCCCATTGTACTTCCTGCTTCTCCACCTCCCAAGGCAGTCTTAAATCTAGTATTGCAAAGGTCACAGTGAGAAACGTGCATTCCTTTTCTCTGTTTGGGAAAAGACTGCACATTTTGTCCTAATTTTATCATGAATTAAGTGGTTATATCCTTGGGGATATACTATTGTTTTTAGGGGAGGGGGCGGGGGACGGACGGACGTGTGTTCATGAGTGGATCCTGTAAAGCGAATCTGTAGGGAAACTGAAGTTCTGGATCTTATTGAGTAAGATTTTTCTTCTGTTACTACTTGATAAAAGTTTTAGCTGATAACTCTGTGTGTAAGCATTTGTGTTTGCGTTGAGGTATTTTGATAGGTATTTTCACAAGAATTCAACTGATCTCAATTCTGTCCTTCATCTTATGTGCCCATCAGATATTTTGATCTGTACTAAATTTTAGTTTGTGCATTAGTTTTTTCACCTTTTTAAGAGAACTGGGTTCAAATCCTGACATGGGTCACAAGTGAAAGTGGCTTCGAAAGGACTTCTCAATCCCTCTGTGTGAACCTACCAAAAGCATGGCATGATTGCGGTCTGCTCAACAGAGGCTAGGGACTGGAATAGCCAGGGTATTACAAGATACAGGATTGGGGTCCCCTGGAAAATCTGTGTGGGTTGCACAGCATCTCCCCTTCCTTTGCGTGACTTAACCCATGCTATTAGTCCTCCACTCTCCTGATCACTAAAATTAGTCCTATTTTTTTTTAAGAGGGAATCTTTTATTGAGAATGGCTAATGTAGGTATGTTTTCAAGCTTAGTTTCTGTAGTTCTAATTGGAGACAAGGTTTTCTCAGGTAATTCATTGTCTTAGTGTTTATCATATTCATCACAAGAGAGGTGATTCTTCTGTGCAGATAAAGGGGGTTATCCATGGCTTTCGGAGGGTTGGAGAGACAGATTTCACAAGGGAATGGTAGCTTTTTCTTTTTATAGTAATGCCTCTTGTTTGGACAAACTTCAGACTGTAAGGGACATCCATCATGTCGATGGGAGGTAAAAGATATGTCCAGAGTAAGTGTGGAGAATGCCTTTAAATATTTTCCTGTATGGAAATGGCATGTGGTTCTCACTGGGTGGTGTGAGAACATTGAGTTTAGTTCAGGCTTGACCACTTCCATATTCTTATCCGTTGTAGCAGTCAGAAATAGATACTGAATGTTACAATTGCTGTCTTGCCAAAAGCAAAGGCATACAGCCAGATTCTCCCATTGCCCTGCGACTTGCCGTAGTCCATTATATCCGCTTTGCACTGAGGTTAAAATGCTACTGAATCAGAACAGTAAAAGTTTACAACTGCTTTGCCCTAGACTACACAAGGTGTTGGACAATGGAGAGTCCAGCCCATAGTCTCAAATTGCTAGAGTAAAGTATAAACCTCACGGTTTCCAATAGTAGTAAAGAACACCTACATGTGCGGCTCCTGTTATGATGATAAGTGCAGACATACAGGAAAGAATATAACTCCCAAGTGCATAAATGAGTTGGTTTCATAAATTTGGTTAGGAAGGCTGTAACTATGAGCAAGAGACACGATGAATTTGGGATGGAAAATATTAAAGCTGCTAATCTTTTTTAATGATCGTTTTGACTAAGCCTACAAAGTTGGCTAATTTACTCTTAGTCAAGATAACTGACAAAACATACTTGACTTAAGTATTAATGCTTGATATAAAGAAAAAAATGACTTCACTTAGCGTTTTAGTTCAAAATTCCAGCTAGAAATCCTGAGTATGCATCCTACTTACTGCCAGGGTTTGTAGTCTTGTACTAATTCTGCTGACTTGTGTGTTAATCTGTCTTCCTTGGGCAGTAAAATTCTATAGACTGTCTAACCAAAGGCACGTTTATGATCTAGAACTGCTGTTAGGCTTGAATCTAGCTGCCTTCATTCGCTTATAAGTTCCTGTAGTTTAATTTTTATGCCTTAGACTTTCATGCATTTTTTAAAAATTTCTGGTTTGTAAAAGTGTCAAAAATGCATGCCCACTGTGAACATGTATGACGGTCACTGTTGGATATGTTGCGAACTGTATATCAAAATCACCGCTATATGCAGGAACGTCTGTATAAAGTCCTCTTAGCGTGGTATAATTTAGCTTCTATTCTATTCATTGTGAAACTTAATTTTTTTTTTAATTGAGCATGAATCAATTTGTATGCACTACATTTTCAATTAAAAGAATAGACACTTTTTCAACTTGGTTTCTTGGGTCCTTTTTTTAAATTGCGACACCCAGTATGTTGCTTTAAAAGAAACTCGTATTGCTGCCCAAATGATTGAGATGCTGTAGGGTTATTGGCCCTGTACAGTAGATTGCATGCAAACCTTAGTATTTCTATACTAACGCTCTCCAAGCTGTGCATAGTAACTTCTCACTAACTGCTGTTGCCAGAAATTGTCACTACAGTCCTTGTTCGTGTAAGACATTCAACCAAGAAGCTATCTTGCCTTGATATTCTCCGCTCCCTTCAGGGCAGCATTGAGTGCTTCTGCTCCCAGCAATAGCAAAGGATTGATATGCTATTAGCTTGTGCAACCTGACTACCTGAATATAATTCTTGCTAGGGTTCAGTTGAGCATTTTTATAGGTGTCTTTGGGTGGCTCTATGTGGAAGACAAACTTACCATTCTACATTAAGACCATTTAATCAAATGCCAACATGTTTTGGCCAGGAACAACCTTAATAGGGGATAAACTCTGCTTAGTTGGAATAGGAATGATCTTATTCAGGAGTTCAGGCATGGTGATATAATGGTCCCTTCTGGCCTTAAAATCTATTTGGGAGTTGGGAGGGAATTCTGATAGAAGCAGGCATTGCACACTCCATTCTTTTTTTTGAAACAAACCTGAACCTTTGCTTCTGTTCAGAAATTGATCTTTGTGTTACTATGTGATATGGGAACTTTCTTTCCCGTTTTTTCTTACAAGCTTTCCCTACCTGCTTTAAGTGAACTGGAAGCTGTAAGTAATGCATATTATTTATTTCTCTTAGAGGAAACACTGAATTTTGTAAGTTCGCTACAGGCCTTTAATTAAATTAATACCTACTTAGTTTCTTTGTTTCTACCGTGTAAGAAACACTTTTGGTAAGTTTCAGTCCATTGAAAACTCTTGTCTTGCCTTTTGATTTCTAACAACTGAATTTTTAAACAAATTTTGAATAATTAAGCATGAACTTAATCTTCACAGAGGAGAATAACTTTATCTTCTATATATGTGGAATCAATTAAACTTGCATGTTGATGTAACAGGAAATTATAACAGAGAAAGATACCGTCCTTAATTCCCCCCAACCGAAACAGTAATGGGATATTGCATCTGTGTCCCTTGCATGTTTTTGTAATATGTATCGATGTGAAGTATTGTGTCCATTAAATAAAAACTTATGGACAGCCATTGCTCTCATAAGCTAACTTGTAAATCAGACACAAATCCCTTTTAAAGAGAGTCCTCAAACTACTGCAGCTGAGACATAAACTGGATACAAAACAGGATTTTATAAAGATGTAACTCTTGGGTCCTAGAGCATAGCAGCATATTCTTTGGCTGGCCACTAGTGACTGAAGCCTGTCCAGATAGAAGATAAATAACTGGTTATTATCATTGGCTAATTGAGAGTGCACCCTGGCAGAGAGAACCTGTTGCACTGAAACAACATCCACTGTTAGCTTAACTAAACTTTCTGTAACGAATTCACACTACTTGAAAAGGGTGAATCCCATGTTCTGATAAGTGGAGATTGGGTTTTCCTGTTGGATCACACTCTGTGACCCTACTGCTAATAATCTAGTAGGTAATTAATGTACAAGATCTACTGTAATAAGTGATAATCAGCATGGAAAGATGGAAAAATCTGTCTCCTGTCTGTTCTAGCGGCTGAATCACCTTTGTTTTTTAATCAGCTGCATGTTGCTTCAATCTTTCAATGACACTCCTTCAGATTAATCAAAATAACTTTAATAAATCACTTAATTGTGGTACAGTAGTTATCATATTTATAACATAAATCAGATTTACTGCTGCTGATTAAAGAATAAAAATTGATTTAATGCTTTGGTTTTAACATCTAACAGCCTCACAAAACTTGGATTTTATTTTATTTTATATAATGAAAGTGGCAGGACCAAAGAATCCGTTATCTAGTTAAGTACAATTCTTACTGATCAGATTATGGTTTAGAAGGCCTTATGAGCTACAGTAGAACCTCAGAGTTACGAACACCTCGGGAATGGAGGTTGTTCGTAACTCTGACATTTTTGTAAGTCTGAACTAAATGTTATGGTTCTTTCAAAAGCTTACAGCTGAATATTGCCTTAATAAAGCTTTGAAACTTTACTATGAAAAAGAAAAATGCTGCTTTTAACCATCTTAATTTAAATTAAACAATCACAAACAGTTCCCTTATTTTGTCAAATATGTTTTTTAACTTTGCCCTTTTTTTAGTAGTTTACATTTAACACAGTACTGCACTGCAGGGGTCCCCAACGCGGTGCCCGCGTGCGCCATGGCTCCCGCCGGGGCATTTATGTGTGCCCGCTTACTGGCCGCCGGACAAGCAGCCGCCAAAATGCCACCGAGAAGCGGCAACATCAAGAAGTCGGCGGCAATTCGGTGGCGACGCTTCTTGACGTTGCCACTTCTCGGCGGCTGCTTGTCCGGCAGCCACAGTCCTCGGTCCAGCGCCCACCACACGGAAAAGGTTTTGGACCACTGCTGTAGTGTATTTGCTTTTTTTTGTCTCTGCTACTGCTTGATTGTGTACTTCCGGTTCCAAATGAGGGGTGTGGTTGACCGGTCAGTTCATAACTCTGGTGTTCGTAACTCTGAGGTTCTACTGTACTGTGTGGCTTGGAGCTACTTGGCCTTCTGGCAGTACCAGTTCCTAAGGGCTTGTCTACATGGCACTAACTGGCTGCATAGGCTCTGCTTCCGCGCACTAAAAATTCCATAGTGTGCTTTGACGTACTGCTGTTTCAAACACCCTGGCTTGCTGTGCACTAAATCAGGGTGTAGGCAAGCCCTTAGTGAAATAAAACTGCAGTGTATGTATCGGTTCAGAGAGACTAGCACTTAACTGCTGGAAAAGAACTTGGTCTTGGTCATGCCTCTGTGCCTGTGGCATGCAGTTGTCTCAATTACTACCTGCCCTGGAGGATTATTCTCTACGTGGACGCCAGGCCAGGCAGCTTGCACTTCTGGGTTGTATAAGTCCTATGAAACTCATTGTCTGAACAAAATAAGATGTTTCTGTATTATTTCAGGATTTGAAGCATTGATCCATGACTTTTTAACAAAGTTTTAGGCTGAAGAAAGTCAAAGCATAAAACCCTCTGTTTAGTGACTTTAACCTAATCACCCTTGATTTCACTGTCTTTGGCTTCTGTTTCAAAGTGGTTTCCCTAATTTTCTTCTTTGCCTTCTCTAGTATCAGCTGGGACTTACTACTCACCCTGAACTCTTCCTTCTGAACAATGTCGATGCAGACTCAATTGTGACTAGATGATTCCCTGAACTGCAGTAGCAAGAACAAAAACAATTTTGAAGCCCCTTTGTGCTGCAGAAAAGGATTTTCCTTACTTATGGTTAGTTCAGAAACAGGTATGGTCAAGCATCATGAATGACGGAAAGATTTCCTCCGAGAAGGAGCACAGGATAAAACTGACATCTGCAGAGGAGTGTCAGATGGAATCAGCAGACGTTGCACTTGACATCAGCCATGAAGGTTCTCACAGGACCAATGAAGAGCCAGAGTCAAACCAGTTCATAGTATCACATACCCTATGGGTTTGTCTTATCTTTAGGTACTCAAAATATTTTCTTTAATCCTTTTTTTAATTGTAAATTATTTGGGTAGTAAATTATAGATATTTGAATATCTTATTGATTTAGATCTAAACTTATTCTGCTTGGTGTTTCTTAGGTCAGTTAAATGATGGGACACTAACATGTTTTCCAGTTTTTGGAAGATTGTCCAAATGAGTAATGTTAAGATTTTACATTTGATTTTGAATGATCTCATTTATGAAGTACACTAAGGAGACTACACAATGAGAAATAATTAACTCAAAAGGATGGGCAGATTCTGAAGTGCAAATCCATTGGAGCCTAAGGAAGAAGCGTACAAGGCGTCTGTCAAATGCAGATTATATTCTGGGCATGCTCTTCCATTTCTGCTCCCTTCTGTCTAAAAACGCCCTCCCTATCTGTCCAGGTACTTAGGTGCTCAGTTACTATAGCAATGAGTCCTATCATCTCAAACCTCTCTAGCCTCCACTGTGGCTATCTGAAGAGGTCTCCTACTCCAAGAGCGTGGCAATCCTCACTTCCCTGCCCACGTCTTCTAAGCATCTGGCCAGTTCTCCAATACTGAGCCGCTCTAGGATTTTATTTCAGGTACTTGCCTTGCCCCCCACAACTACATTGCTGACTGCTGCGTAAGAAATGGTAACTACAGTGTAACTGGAATGGGAGGACACAAAGAGCTGTATCTTTGTGCATTCAGTCTAACTTTGTTTTCTTTGTCATCACATCCCAGCTTTTATTTGACCGACAGTGCGTTGAAATGCTTAATTCTCAATTTCAAAATACAAACAGTTTGTAGAGGCAATGCAAGTTTAGGTTTTACTCCTGACATCAGAGGTAGGGATCTATAGAATCCTTGATTTAAGTATCTGTCTATACAGTTATAGGAGTGGACACCGCTCTATTAAGAGTGCTCACCATGAAAAGTGCCTGTTAACTACTAAGTCCTGAAGAGGGAACTTCAAAATTTCTTCATGTAGTTCTTCCAGCCATAAATGTAACGGAATAAATCCATGTGCAGTTACACAGCAGCTTCCATCTATAGGTGAAATGTGGCCTCTTGTCTTAAGCCAACCAACCCCCACAGAATGGGGTTCACTTTTCCTGGGACTAGCTTTACACAGAGGGAATTGAACATGAGCTTTGCATTTTCATGCCATTTCAAGAAGTCTTGAATGATTAGGATAATTTCTGAGAATTGGATGGTTCCAAACTCAAAGCTTGAGGCCATGATATTCTGGGTGGGCAAGTGTCTTTTGTTTTGTTTTTTTTTTTAAAGAATAAATCTTTTGCAGTTGTGCTAAGAACCCTGAGGCAGGAACTGCCTTCAAATGGAAGATACCCTGAATTATATTTTTATATATGTCTATGTGGGCTCAGTTCTGAGGCATCTTACTTCTGTTTTTTAATTAAATCTCTTACCAATGGAGCATTTCTATCCCTGTGTATTTGGCACTCATTTATTAAAGATATTGATTACACTTGGACTTGTGATGAACATGATGGAAGTCTAGACTGTCAAATAAATGTGTCAAATTCGCTTTAGCTTTTTCTGTTTAGGCTTCACTTGCTTAAGAAATAATGCTGATATTCTTCAGGTCAGATGACCCAGAAAGTTAATAACTTTCACTGGCTGTTTTCTGTACAAGAACAGACTGTACAGTGTGAACAACTGCAAAAACTCGTAGCTATTACATGCGAGGGAAGTAAAACGCTACCAGTGTGAGTACTGAATGCAGTACACCAGAGGATATTCTCTGGCTCCAAACTGTAGTGAGACCCTAAAGTTTGGATTGAAGTGTAGCATGGGCAATGGTGTCCAAGTTTCCACCAGTTAATGTGGAAAAGTATAAACACGTGCTGTAAATGTTTTTGCAAAAAGAGTCATACTCAGATATTCTTTTTCTCACACTAAAGCTTTGTTTACACCAGGGGTTGGCAATGTTTGGCACGCGGCTCCCCTGGCGGGCCGGGCCAGTTTATTTACCTGCTGACGTGGCAGGTTTGGTCGATCGCGGCCCCCACTGGCCCGCGGTTCGCCGTCCCGGGCCAATGGGGGCGGCGAGAAGCGGCGCGGGCGAGGGATGTGCTGGCCGCGGCTTCCCTTGCGTCTGATGAAGTGGGCATTCACCCACGAAAGCTTATGCTCCAATACTTCTGTTAGTCTGAATCTGTAAAAAGCAACAGAGGGCCCTGTGGCACCTTTAAGACTAACACGGCTACCCCTCTGATACTTGACTACCACTTTTGTTGGTCAGGAGTGTGAAGAAGGAAAACCACACACCGCTGACCGACATCAGTTTCACCGGCAAAAGTGCTGGTGTGGGCAGCGCTATGTCAGCAGGAGAGGCTCTCCTGCCAACATAGCTAATGCCGCTCATTGTAGGTGGTTTAATTATGCCAGCAGAAAAGCTCTCTCCTGCTGGCAAAGTGCAGCTACACAGGAGACCTTACAAGCGGTACAGCTATGCCGCTGTAAGGGCTGTAGTGTAGACATAGCCTAAGTCTGTTGCAGGTGGTACTTGCTTTTGTTTTTAGTAAATCCCATTACAATGTTACCTTGACCAATGTGGATTAGGCATCTAGCAAGTGGCCTAGTGGGCTTCTGCTTGCTGCTGTAGCTACATACAAGGGACACTAAGGATCTGGGTTTACGGCTGAGGAATAGTTCCCCCCCTCAGCTGATTACCTTTAGAGGCAGGCTGCCTCTAGCCTTGGTCTCTACCCCAGTTGGTGCTAACTGTAATTTGTTGCATCTTTCGGTGGCAGGCAAGTCTCACCCTGTACAGTACCTGAACCAGGAGTCCCTCTAACGTGTGTTATCTCTGGGGAGTCCTTAAATAGCTGCCAGAGCTTTTGTTTGCAAACACTGTTGCTTTAGTTGGAAGGAAGAGGCTCTTGTTGTAATCTCATTACTTGCATCACGTTAATCACTGCTGTGGTTTAGAGAGCATCTTTGTTAAACCAGATATGTCCGGCAGGTGATGGTCTCGATAGCAATGACATGAAATATGCAACAGGCCAAAGAGCAGTGACCCAGTATTTCATAGTGAGCACCTGTTCAAAATCTAGTTATTGTAGCTATAACTATTGGCTTCAGCAAGTTGAAACATGAGTATTTTATTGTAACCAAGTGGGTTACCCTATATATAAAGATTTAATAAATAAAATAGCATCAATAAACAGCTAATGTAATATATTAGCACGAACCATTTAAACAACCAGCAATGGTACAAGACATTGGACTACTCAGGACTTCTGTTAACTGTCTACTGCCAACCCCAAAGAACAATCTTGCAATGCTCTTTCCATATTGTAGCCCTCTTTCCTAACTAGGATGCACTGCAGCATTCTGAGCTTGATGTAGGTAGATGGCTGCCTCTGCCCCAGATAACAATTCTCCTCCTTGCACACTACTCTAGCTGGCAGGGATTGCTGAAACATTGGTACTGACTGTGCTGTCAGTCACGCTGAGTCTATTGCCTCTAGCATCATAGACATGGATATTGTGAGTTTAGGTATTGATCCCAACAGTTGGCTTTAGCATAGAGCAGCCGTTCAATGGCAGAGCTAACAGAAGTCCTGGTGATTATTACTTAAAATTCTTACAGTGTTTACATATAGAAATTCTAAATAATTAATACTGAACATATGCTTTCCTCTCCTGCTTGCTCCTATGAAGTTGGTTCACTTTTTGGCCCCATTCTTGAACTGAGGTTTAACGTAATCCTTATACATAGAGAAGAGAACACCTAACAAAAGAGAGCAGATACTGTTATCTATTGGTGGTTTTCATATGAAAGAGAGTTCCTGCAAACAGTTTTGCTTTTCATTTAATTTAACGTCTGCAAACTAGTAAAATTATTTAGCAGTAAAAATGTCTTCTCTAAATAGCCTAAAAAATAAGTGGTGCAAGGAGGTAACAGCTGGATATTAAATGGTCCAATAAATCCCAATTTGAATTGTTATATCATGAATCATGAGCTATAGTGATTTACAGAAGATCTAGCTGGTAGCTTTGAAATGGGAGAGTACTTGCTGAAAGTAGAGGTAAGTCAAGCACCCTCTGAGTAGGCCACTACTATGCAGGCAGAAGACTGCCCCATCCGCCCCCCAGGAAAGGGCTCAGCTACCGAAAAGGTATCTTAAAAAGGTTTCTGCACAAATCAGTATCTTACCTATTGTTATTGCTCCTACGACAAAGCCTTGTGCTGCAACTCTCATGTGAATGAGATGGACTGACATTTTCTGATCTCCTCTGTGTTTTAGCTTGTAGAGACCATAGCCCACGACAGCAACAAAGCCTGCCATCCCTGTGCATTCAGAAGGAGGGTGAAGTTCAATAAATGTGTAGAACCAGAAAATGTAACTTTGGCTTAAAGAATGTCAGATAAATTACTTTAAATACTACGTTCCTTAAGCTAAAATCTACCAAACAGTGCATAGGGTGAAAAATCAGCATATTAAGGGTTTGCAGAATCTGCCCCTTCTGACCTAAAAAAGTAGTGTTTACCAAATGCTAAATTAGACATGCTGTTTGAACAAAGCATCCAACTTTCTGTGTTCCCAAAACCATCTAGTGTAGCCATATCCACTCTCATATTATCTGACTTTTTTTCTTTCTGAAGTAGGGAAGGAAGCCTCAACTAGAGGTTTAATTTTCTCTCTGCCTTTTTTGCTTTTGAAGTTGTCAGGGCCTGTAAATCACTTTCAATTACTTTTGTTATTTGGTATATAAATTGAATAACTAAATTATTCTTTTATCTTTCAATTACAACCCCTCCACACACGCTGCAAAAAAGCAAGCCATGTCCTTGCAACCTGCTAAATTGACAACAGTGTATACAGATTAGCCTGTGTTCATTTAGTCTGGTACATACAAATCACGTTAAGGTTTAGAAGAGCTTCTGTTCTGACAGTCCTGCTGTTACTGCTAAATGTTAGGGAAGCCTAATGAAGTTTGATGGATGAAACTTGGCCAGGCTTCTCCTTGCCTTTCCAGGTCTGCACAGTTCCTGAAAACCTAGTATTCTGGATGTGACCCATCTCACTTAATATATTGGTTTTTAAAGGAAGGTCTGATTCAATGGTGTGTGAATATGGAAACCGGTAAAGCTCTGTTTCTGAGGGAAGAACCCCCATGTAGAAGGTACTATAGGAAGCTGCACAATTACAGTAAAGACACCTTTTAAATGAAGGTTATAACAGGCTTCCATCAGACTACTGCTAAAGTAACAGCCACCTTTGCAACAGATCTATACTCTACTCTGGCCATCCTAGTATTACGATAGAGTAATGGTGTACAACAGTTGACAGTGGAAGGAGAAAAACCTTTTCACGCTATCAATTTTGCTGTTCCACGTTTAACCGGTGTACATTTTAGTTTTCTGGAAAAAATCCATTAACCTCCATTACTAGCCGAAGAGATTATTTCTAAGGAAAAACAGGGCAGAATTATTACAATAAAACCCTGTCCATAGCACTCTGTATGCACAGAAAGAGTCAACTCACCTACAGGAACAAATGGAGAGTCTCTAGCTTTCCGTGTCAGTTTAGATACTTGACTGTCCTCTTCCTCCGCAGACCAGCGATCATCAGAAGACATTTCTCACCTCTGAAAACAAGAGAACAGGTCTGACAATTCAAGTCCAGAGATGCTTTCCTTCTCTGTTCTCCAGCGTTTTATTTACTAACGCACCTCTTACTTATGAGACTCCCAGGTGTCAGAGCAGCTAACTTGCAAACTGATCCTGGTCGTATGCAAGCAGATTCCCTTTTTCTAGCTGTCATTCACTTAATGCAATATCATCACCAGCTTAATCTCATTTTAGAGACCTTCTGGTTCCCTGTTAAGGGTTTTATTTTGGCATTACAATTGGGCTGGGTGAAGTTTGTCACTTATATCTGCTCAGCTCTCCAAAGGTTACCTCAGCAAGACATGCTCGGAAATGAAACTTCCTCGTTGTAGCTGTATCTGTGGAATAAAGAGATACTACTTTTTTTTTTTTAATGGATGTTTTAGAGACCTATTGCCCTTCCCTGGAGAGGAAAAGGGCAAATATAGTACCTAGCTGTAAAAAGGGAAATAAGGACAACCTAGGGACTTAAAGACCAGTCAGCTCATATTCCGTATCTGGAAAAATAATGCAGCAAATAAACAATCAATGTGTAAGCACCTAGAAGAAAATAAGGAAGCGGTCAAAATGGACTTGTCAAGAACAAATTGTATCAAACCAACTTAATATCCTTCTTTGACAGGGTAACAAGCCATGGGGGAAGGAGTAGATGTGATATCTTGACTTTAGTAAGGCTTTTGATGCTGTCGCTTGACCTTCTGATAAACAAACTAGAGAAGTATAGCCTTGACAAACCTATGAGGTGAGTGCACAACTGGTTGGAAAATTTTACTTAGGGAATAGTTATCAATGGATATCAGGCTGGAAGGGCATATCAAGTGGGGTACCACAGGGATCTGTCCTAGGTCCAGTTCTATTCAATATCTTCATAAATGATATGGCTAATGGGATAGAGTACACTGATAAAGT